CTGTACTTCATACTTCTCCTTTAGCAATAGAGTCGTGCCGGCCATCTATGTAACTCCTTTCAGGAGAAATATTTAAATTGAAACAACACGACTTCCGCCTTCCATTAGAAATGCCCGTGTAATTAATCAGGGAATGATTTTCATATCTACTCTCCACTTTTATGTATCTAACTCCTTTCTCGAGACTTAGAAAAGGCAGACAGACGGATGGCCAGACGGACGGCCAGACGGACAGACGACAGTTGAAATTTATAGGTCTACAATTTTTCAAATTGCTGTTTAATATAAATTTAATACTCCTTCAATTGTTTTCAGTGCGAATTTTTCTTCAGTCGTTTCAATGACTCAATCATTAAAATAATATTTTCTTAATCCTTTTCCAATAAATTATATTTGAATATTTACAAACAAATCACAAAAATTAAATTACAATATATAATTCTATTCTTATTTACCTTTAGCCATAAATAAGTTTCGATGATGATAAGATATACTGTATATTATAGATTAATTTCTAAACAATGTTGTAGTCTAGACATGCTCTACAACAGTTTTTAATACATGTTAACAATTTCTTATAGCGAAAAAAATGAAGAATGGTCGAAACAAAAATGAAAAATAATCTCTATATATTTTTACATAACTGTAAACTTCTTATATTAATGACTTACTTAACCATTGTTGCGCTGCAATTTGAAAACATTCGAGACCTGTAAATTTCCACTAGTTATCATTCCTTAATCTCGAGAACGGTGTTATATAGATGAAAGTCGAGACCAAATATGGGAAGATTATTTAGCAGAGAGCGCCGCTTAACTATATATGAGCTTTCGGTATAGACCAGAAGTCATATGATTTCAATTTAAAAATTTTCTCCGGAACAGAGTTATGACCAGCATGAATCTGTTGTATCTGGAGAAGTATGATGTACAGGAACAAGAAACAACTAATTTCAGGTGGAGAGCATATATTTTAAATTAAATATGATTAAAAATTGCAGCCCGGCTCGAATTTCCTGTCGAACCGACGACCCTTTCAAAATTATACTTAAATCTTTGTTAAATTGTAAAAAATTATAACAATGTGATGATAATATAGTTTGATATGAGAGTTAATAAGTAATTAGTTGTCGCTTATTTCTTTTTTTATTTCCTGGAATATAATAGAATTATATACATTAAAATAGCTCATCTTTATATATATTATTTAGTATTTGATCGACGTATAGGAAAATGTGAAGTTTATGGATTAGGAATAAAATTCTTTAGGATCCAACAATATTCGATCATTAATCAATATCTGTTGGTAGCTGCAGTCAACCCATTTTCGATTTTCCTCTTTTTTCGATTAGAGAAGAGTTTAGTGAACATCACAAAATACCGGTGAATGTTATTGGATATTGGAAACATGGTACACATTTAAGAAACTATATCTTTATTCATTACGTTATTGGAAAAGTCCAAAAACTCTGTTAAAGATAAATTGAAGTTTTAACCAATTATGTTACCATTTATTTCTAAATGACAAAAAAAAATTATTAATGATGCTGTTTACTTTATAAAATAAGCGCAATACAGAATTTTAACAATTAATGTTAAAGAAAAATGATCAACAGTTATACGTCGTTGTCCGAAATGCACTTAACTCTTTAATTAATCGATCCAGTAATCAATAAATCATCGATAATGAAATTACATCAATCGCCTTGTTCAAGGAAGCGAGAGTTATAAGTTTCTTACGTGGTTCATTCAAACATTAAACGTATTATTTTAAAAAATATTGAATTAATTTGAAGATCCACTCATGACTCGAACTTTTTTCCCTAAGTTCCTGTTTTGTTTTAATTTTTTTTTTTTCATAGAAATTGCACACAATCTCCTTCCTTCTTTCTCGTTTTTCATATTTGAAGCATTGAAAATTTAATTAAAATTAATTTTATAAAAATTACAATCTTTTATAATAATAATTATTTGTTATTCTGTTAATACAATTAACCACTTACTTCGTTTCTTGTATCGTTTAGAGAAAATTTTTTTGATATATAAAATATTCTTCATTACAGTTTATAATTTTGTTTAAAAAATTAAGCGTGTAAATTTTAAAATAAATTTTTTATATATTTAATAATATAATTATGTCTAAAGTTTAGTCATTCACCGGAAAATTGTTACTTGAATTTGCAAATTTAATTTCATTAACTTTTTCAATGCATAAAATAATTTATAACTTCTGTAAAAAAATATTCAACTGTAAAATACTTATTACTTATAAGAATTTTATAAGTAATTTACTGACAATTACTTATAAGAATTTTATAAGTAATTGTCAGTAAATGTTATTGGTGCAAATAAAATAAAAACAAATATAGCCTAAAATTGAACGAAAGAACGTGTCGTGTCGTGGAAACAAACGACATTTTTTTCATTTTTTTAACTTAAAAAAATGAGAAATTAATAGGAATTTCAATACAAATTCTAGCATTGTATTTTTAGAAAAACATTTTTTCCAAAGATTTCTTCATCAAAAAAGAAGAAAAAAGAGAAGGATTACATAAAAATTATGATTAATGCATTACGAATTGAGAAAAAAGGCTACATATATATGATATATAATGTAGCCTTTATTAATTTATTAAGTTGCATTTACATTATAGTAAAGCGTCGTTTATCCGAAAGTTGGTTATCGGAAACGTCGGTTATCCGAAAGAATTCCAGTCGCCAAATTTAAATTTTCGCTAGTGCTGTGGCGCTGCAATCTTTGGCTATATCTTGGGCTACTCCAATATTTTTTATGTTTGTGTATGTGTTTTAGCTGGCAGCTCTGTCACTTTTGTGTGGTGTTTTTCTGAGGACTGTGTCATGTGAATCGAACGTTTTTGATACTAGATAACTTCTAAAGTATTAATTTTTTTTGTTTTTATATTTTTCAATATATAAAATTCAATATATTTTGTTTGTAAAAAAATAAAGAAATAATTTTTAACGATACAATAGCCACGATTATTATTTTAAAAAGTTTACATTAGGCTTAACATCGACGAAAATTCAACGCGAAGCGACACGCAACGGAGAAAAATTTCAACACGGGCTAGGTTAATGTATTTTTTCGTACATAATCGGTTATCCGAAAAATAAGTTATCCGAACAACCCCAGTTCCCAATTTATTCGGTTAAACGACGCTCTACTGTACTTTTACGAGATTAAATAGTTTTTACTTCTTTATGAAGAAAATAAGTAAGAAATATTGATGTAGAATATTAATTTTTCTCATAAAATGTTATTTTTTCTCTGGAAGAGTAATTTAAATATATATAAAAAATAATTGGAAAATGTCTTTTGATAATAACAAATATTCGCTTTATATTATGCAATAAAAAGAAACTACCAATATATTAAGTATAATTAGGTATTAATAATATAATCAAATATTACTTAGAATTTTAATAGATACATTATTTAAAAAGTATAAGCAAATAATGTAAAATATTTTAAAAATTTGAATCATAACTTCGTCTTAGTCATCATTTTTCTGTAAATAATGGCAAATTAATTGCAGAAAAAAATGCATTTTATGTATTAGGAGAAGACAAATGCGTGTACTGCGTTATGAAAAGAAAAGAAATATAGAGATTAAATAGATGTTTTATAGCTTTAATTTTATTCTTTAAAATTTACATTTCTTGAAGTAAGAATTGTGTTTAATTTATAAATGAATGAAGCTCTATGTTATTAAACAATCATATTTTCTAGTAATTTTTTTATTAATTTACGGCGATGTGAATTTTTAAAAATTATGCTTAAAACTTATATAAAGAAACTTCTTTATTGTACTAATATTTTGTTGCGTCATTTGATACTTTTTATTATGTACTATTCTATAAGTTATACGAATGCTTAATTACTGGAAATTTACTAAAAATATACGAAATATTTTAAGAAATCCGAGAAATGTTACTAATGTATTCATAGATTATAGAGTACTAACATTTTTTTCCAGAACTCGTTGATATTGTTTGCTATTTCCATTTATTTGCATAAATATGATAAAAAGATATATTTTTCACATTTCTCGTGTTATATTGTGTTACATACGATGAATATATTAAAATATATAAATATTAAATTTTGAAAGTTTAATAGGCCTATAATTAATGCTGTATATTTTTAGTATAAAGACAATGAAGATGATTACAAATTTCATTTTAATTATTTGTAGACTAAATTATTTTTATTTTTATTATGTTGTTAATGGAGTGCATCCTAAACACCACGGTGCTTAGTGCTATGCTGAACCAAAGTCGAAGCGTAATTATAGACAACAAATGTTTTGTTTACGTGCTGTTCGTTTATGTACCTGTGTTTAAGAATATTCTATGTGGCATGTGTTTAGTATGGCAGTCTTCTGTAGTGTGATGTATGTGCTGTTGTGAATTTCAATGTTTCTAGACCTTTGTGTGGTGTATGTGGTAGGTATATCACGCGTGTGCAAGAAATGAGTTAGCATAATACATACGTCATCCATAATACATACGTCAAGTTTTAAATCAGTGTTATATTGATGTCCGTTATTATTATCATGCAAGTGTAGATTATTCTGTATCCTATATAGGATATTGTAAAAATTAGTTAACCATTATAAAGCTAAATTACTTATTTAATATTTTTAAATTCATATTTATACCACTTTAAAAAATACATCATTCTATATTTCAGGTGTGGCCAAACTTTTATCCCTTAGGGGGCTACTTTTTCGGTAAAATATAGTCTGCGGGCGACTATGAATATGGGCAAACAATTTTAGGATTTTTATATGCGTATGCGTTAACATTCATTTGCATTGTTCATAGGATAAATACAAACAGTATGGGTACTTTGCACAGACAGTCTATTATTGTAAGAATAAATTATCGAATTAAGATTTTTGAACATTAGAGAGGTTGAGGCGCACGTATTTAGCCCAAAACGTGTACGGGTAACGGGTGAGCGCAGCCACGTGGCAGTTCTGGACCGTCGATAATGGCGTTTGCTACGTGTAGCAAGTCGTGTAGCTTGGTGAGTACACGATCGGCTTAAACGTCATTTTTTTCGTGTTTGGGGTTAAAATTATGATTTATTTTATTAAAATAACGATTATTTAAGCATTTATAAATAACATTGTAAAGAAACAGACGATTTTAATCCAAAAATTATTTAATTATTTAACCCTTTATTGCCTGAATTTTCATTTTTTGATAAAAATTTTTTATATTTCTCATTTTATCATCAGAAGAGGTGTTTATTAACAGATAAGTAAATAAAAAAAATTAAAATGTAAATTAAAATTTTTTTAATTATGGGACTTATTAGTCCTGTCATGCTTTAGAGCACATTTGGACTTAACAAGTTTTTTCTTGTTTAATATTTCGAAAATAAAATATTTTTGTTTTATATAAAGATCTTTTATCATAGAAATTTGCAAATTAAATGCATAATTATATATATTATGTATTTGTTAACTTTTACTGTATAATAAGGTCAAAATATAAAAAAAAATTAAAATGCATGACAAAACTAAAATAAAATTTATTGGTTTAATAATTTATGATTAGTAAAGATGTAAAAAGCTATTTTTTCCCCATTTACACACAAGAAAACTTTACGTAATGTGCATTTTGTATATGGTTTTGATGTGTATCAATATCAAATGGAAATTTTTTTGATATAAAATTATCTATTTATATATATATAAGTCTTATATGTATATTAACTACAAAAATGTAAACAAATTCATAAATTTATAAAGCACAATGTAGAAAATACAAATTTCTAACATTTACAAAAAAAATTCCCTTATGCCTGATGGGACTCATAAGTCCCAAACATATTTTGATCTCATACAGCTTGCATACAATTAATTCTACAAACATAATACATTAAAATCAAACTACACATATCTAGAATACATATTAAAAAATACATTTAACTTGAAAACAATAAGTAGAATTTGGCAACAAAGAAAGCAATATCAGCTACTACCATGCAAACAACACACGATGTGTAACTTTTTTCAACAAAACTAAAACAGGAACAGTTTGAAAGTTACTACCCTATAGAAGAGAAAAAGAACACTTTATGCAATGATAAAATGTAAGTCCCAAATAGCTATAATGCATACACTATGAAATAAAAAATATCAAAGATAGTGGGACTAGAAAGTCCCGTCAGGCAATAAAGGGTTAATATTTTTAATGTAATGTGAAGTGACCACAGAAACTCAAAGGCTGTGTTCACTTTTTTTTTGTACATTAAGCATTTAATTAAAATTATATTTGTAGTCTAGTGATGAGGTATTACTACTGTTGGATATGTTTGAAAGAGATGAAGAAGCCATTATATTATCTCATATCTGTAAAGACATACCTGTGACAAAAGCACGAATAAATTTAAATCAAATGACTGATTCTGATTGCTTGTTTCACTTTCGGTAAGTGATATATTTATAAATTAAAGCAAATACTTAAAAAAGGAAGAATACTTATAAAATTTTTAATTTTAACAGATTTTCAAGAGACGATTTGTTTCACCTCCATTCTGCTTTACGCCTTCCATCTGTAATCATTTGTGAAAATGGATCACGTTCATTTGGAATTGATGCATTATGTATTTTATTACGAAGATTAGCTTATCCTAATAGACTTGATGATATTTCTGTTTTGTTGGGGAGATCAAAAGATGAACTTTCACGATTTGTGCATGAAACAGTAAATATCATATACAATAGCCGTTCCAAATTGTTATTGAATATCAACGAGATAAAACTAACGAGAGAAAAATTAAATTTATTTAGCCAAATAATAACAGCAAAAGGTGCTCCTTTGACAAATTGTTGGGGGTTCATAGATGGAACGGTACGTCCTATTTGTCGACCAATAAGACATCAAAGGGTGGTATTCAGTGGCCATAAACGTATACATTGTTTGAAATTTCAATCAGTGGTTACACCCGATGGTATGATTGCTAATTTATTTGGACCAATAGAAGGAAGACGTCACGACAGTGGAATGTTAAGAGAATCTAATTTGTTAGAGCATTTGGCTGCGATTCCTTGTTCTGAGAACGGGACTCAATTTGTTTTATATGGAGATTCTGGTTATCCTTTGCGTCAACACCTCATTACACCATTCCGAGGTGCTAGCTTAACACCCGAGCAACAAGTATTTAATTCCAGGATGAGTTCAGTAAGAGAGTGTGTGGAATGGGTATTTGGGAAAATAATTCAAAAATTTGCTTTTCTAGATTTAAAAAAAAATTTGAAATTGTTTCTTCAGCCTGTCGGTAAACTGTATATTGTTGGTGCACTACTTACAAATTGTCACACTTGCTTATACGGTAGTGCAACATCAGATTATTTTAATTGTTTACCCCCCAAATTGGACGAATACTTAGAATGTAATCAATAAATAAATAAAGAATTTTTTCAATTTTATAATAAAAATTTTTATTCAATTTTGTAACAATTTTTCTTTAATTTTTATTCAAAGTTTTTAAAAGTATTTGTAATAACATTTCTCTTTCTTTCCTCTCTAAATCAGATTTCTCTCTCTCTAGGTTCAGTCTTGCTTCTCTCTCTCTTTTCTCTAAATCAGATTTTGCTTTTTCAAAATCTAATTTTTCTTGTTCCAGTTTCAGTCGTTCTTTATTTAAATGTAATTCTTCTTGTTTCAACTGATTCTCTTTGTCTTGCTTGCTTTGTAAGTATGAGAGAAGAAGGTTTTTTTTACTTTTTTGGTGACATTGGTATCTTCATCTAAAAATAATTAGAAATGTATAACTATTATACAATTGTCATAATAAGTATAATGTAAATAATTTTTAAGTTTTTATATTTACCAGATGGAAACTCAGGAGATGATACACTTAAAGATGTCATTGCTGCATCCCTGACTTGCTGCCCAGCAATGGCTTGTGGTTGTGATTTCTCAGATGTTATCTGAGCCTCATATTTTAACTCTTTTATTTCTTGTAGAAGTTGATTACGTTCTGTAAATTCCTCTTCTGTTCCAGATCTTCGCAAACTGGCTTGATTATTCTGTAAAGAAAACTATGATAAGTTATTTTATGAACACAGCTATAAAAATGTTATCGACACTTTACATCACTTGCTAAAAAAATCGAATAATTAAAAATTTTGTGCTGATACGTGTACCTCAACCTCTCTATTTTATACTTCTAAAAATAGGGTTGGTTCTGCAGTCTGTTACCGAAGTATAAGAACACCATAAATTTTGTTTTTTAAAAATTTAATTTTAAACTATTACTGGAAATATTAATTATTTTTAATCATTATTTTAATTATTTCATCAGGTTTTTTACATTTCATAAAGCAGCATAAATTTTTTTCACAAATATCTATTTATATATTCAACATATATCATGTTTAACATCCAAGAATGAGAGAGAAGTTTTGAAGCTTATAAATAAAAAAGATGTTAACAAGGCAAGCTGCTGCTGAAATACCAATAGATGTATCTCATGCAACTCTTTGGAGAACTAAACAACTATGACAATGTAAAATATTTAAAAATGAAGTTGAAACTACCTTTAACTGCTAAACACATATCAATGAATTTAAATTGGGCTAAAGACAAGATGGGATGGACTGAAGAATGCCAAGAAATAATGTTTAGTGATGAGAACTTTAATTTATATGGCCCTGATGGGTTTTCATATTATTGGCATGATTTAAGAGAAAGCAGATTTAAAATAAGCCATGGGTCTATAATAATTTGGGATAGTTTTGGAGGTAAATAGGATGGATTGGAAGGTAAAACTAATTTAGTATTTGTTGACAAAAATATGATTACATTTGGTGGTTTAATTAGAGGTCATAAATGGTAGTTTCAACAAGATAATGCTCCCATTCATGTCCTAATGTCAACAAAAAATTGATTTAAAAAAGAAAATATTGATGTAATATTAACTGGCCTTCATGTTGTCCAGATTTAGATCCCATTAACAATTTATGGGGGATTTTAGCAGCCATTGTTTATCAAAATGGGAAACAATATGAATCTGTAAATCAATTGAAATTTGCAATAATGGATACATGGGATGAAATTAAAAAAGTAATAAACTCTATGCTAACAGAATTTGTGTTCTTACACTTTTGTAACATACTATATATCTGGAAGGCAAGATGGTCGTCTACTACCTTCTCATAATACTGTAGAAGTAAACTTGTTCTTTCTCGGCATCTTCTACTGTCGACGGTATAAAACGTCCGTAAATTTTCCGCTATATTTTTCCAAGCATCTTTCGGATTTTCATATGCATACGGATTTATCGCCACTACTTCTCTTAATAGAAGTATGTCATGATGGCAAGAGAACCGCATTTGAATTTTCCTCTTTCTCGGAGTTAACACGACGCTAATTATAGTAAAAAAATAATTATTTAGTGTTATTAAACATCATATAAATACTTTTAAACAGTTTAATTTGTTTATTTACCTTTCCTGATATTCCACCGTGCAAAATGCTTCCGCCATTTTTTTCAACTTATTTCCCGTGAGTCAACGCGCGATGTTCATTGAGTCACGTGATGTTATGAACGGGTGCCTCAATGATTTTTACTTGGATTTGAAACGTGTAACGTGTACTACTTCTACCCGTACACGTTTAATGTTTGAACGTGCTCCTCAACCTCTCTAGTAGCTCTGTGCCTGAAATTTTTACATCCCACTTACTAAAAATTCAGTAAATTCATGTACCTCCTTGTAAAACCTGATGATTTTGGCCTTGTTTCGTTAAAAACAGCAAAAAACTCAAAAACAGCAAAAAACTCAAAAAATTGTGTTGCAAAAAACTCAAAAAATTAAACTGAAATAACTAAAATTGATACAGAAACCCCATTAAAAATATGCATGCTAATGTGACTTTTGCCAATTTAACCTAATGGACAACCAGAATGCTGTCCTATCGGGGCTGTCCTGTCGGGAGCAGTTGTCCCTAGAACGAAAACAATGGTAGCTCCCTAACCAGTTTATCTAGTAACCATGATAAGAAGTAAATGCAGTGAATAACTTAACAAAATAAAAAGAATTGATGATTTTGGTACAAGTGAAGAATTCTGTAAGTTTAAATTACCCCTCCTTTGACTCATAACTTCTATTGTTTGTGCCAAGTATAGAAAACAGTGGTGCAAGGGAATTGACCCTCTGTTCTGGAGTTGTGGTAAAGTTTCCATGCATTTTATGGTTGGAGAAGTCTGTAAATTGAAATTTTAGCTGCTTCTTTTACTCATCCCTTTGGTTCATCATGTCACAGAAAAAAATGTTGCAAGGGTATAATTGCAGATGTGAATGATGCTGTTGAGACCTTATCAGAACTATAGAGCATGTCCATAGGAGCAAAAAAATCAAAGGAACCATTCTCTAAATGTGACTCTCTGCGAGATATAGCTTCCTGAAATTGGTTGCATATGGTCATGAGTTGCAATATGCACTCCACTAAGAGTACGGTATCATGTTTAAGTATTTAGCCCACACGACTATGCCGTATTTTAGTAGTCCACTTGACTGTTTGTAGAGTACTTGATGTTATATAGTTTTAGGGGATTATGGGAGCTCACCCCCATCCGGGCATTGAAGTGCTAACAATGGTGAGCACCAAAATGCACAACTACATGCTTCACAATGTCAATGCAAGCGATAGGGAGCCTTGACAATGCAGAGCATGGAGAATAGGCAGTAGTTTTGGTACACTGTTTTAAGTCAGTAGAAGTTAATGCATTTATTATTTGTTATAGGCACTGATTGTCATGTCTATAACATAACTTGCTTGCAAGCATGATGTTCACAAGCAAGATGGCAACTGGAACTGCTGCTGTTTGGTTTCACATTTGGAGACAAATATCTTGCACAGGGTTGGGTGTCAGACTTTTCTTTATTCCTTTTCGATAAACATCGATAGAATAATCACCATGCTGTATTGACTGTTAAACATGCAATAAACTTAGCAGAGTACACAGCGTGACTATCTATAGCACCTGGAAGTAGGCTTTAGGCTGATATATTTTTGTTTTATACATAAATTACAATCTTTATCATATGTAAAAAACAAAAAGAAAATTTTCAAGACAGTCTACTTACAAGATTATACTGTTAAAAAAGAAAAAAATCTTATTTAACAAAGAAAAATGTTTTAAAATTTTATATTAATATTTAAATGTAATGTTCCAACTGAGGAAGGGTAAAATACTGCAATGTACTGTACACATTGGGGTCTAAAGTTACTAAAAAATAAAAAGAAAAAACCAAGTTAAGATTCCTAAGAAATTGTCGTATGATAAGTCCGGATTAATAGCCAAAAAATACATATCTATAAAAGAAAATCCAAAATGGAAAAGGACTAGAAGTCTTATGAATAAATGATTAATTCTTGTTGCAGTTACATTGGTTCTGGGTTATTTTACAGCTGAAGATGACCTTTTTTTAGGTCTTTACATGCTATAATGAGAAGATCAAGAAAAATTATTGTTATTCTTATTGCACTTCTGGTGCATTAATGCCTTATATGTCACGTTATTTTGTGTGTCACATGTCATTTCACATTGGGGTCAGAAAAAAATGCTATTCTAAAATTCAAGGTCAAAATTTATTTGCATTTAACAAGAAAAACATATGTAAAATATTTACAATTAATCTGCTTTTTTATACAGTGGGTGATCGGTTAACAAACATAATCCGTTCCAAGACTTTGTTCGCTATCCGAATTGTTTGTTAACCGATTATCGATTTACCATAGGTTTTAATGGGAATTTAATTAATTCGTTCTGGAGACCCCCCAAAATAAAAAAATATATACTTTCTTACTACATTTATTTATATGTAATAATAAAAATACATACATACACAGTCTTGCATTTTTATTAGTCATGTTTTTTCCGTTTGAAAGGGTTAAAGAATCTGTCTAATGTCGATTGCTTTTCTCTCTTCTTCAGGATTTTTCGTAAGTAATTAATAGCATTGCAATTGTAGAAATCCCCAAGCCTCAACCTGGTTTGGATGCCATTCTAAGACCGTTGTTCTGACATCCTCCCACTTCTTCAAAGGATCTTTAATAACAGATATCGGCATTAATCCTCTTTTTCAGAAGAAAACATATCTCGCCGAGTTTCTTGGTGTTCTTCATTCAAGAGTTCTTGGCGTTCTTCTGTCGTCAGATCCGTTTCAGGTTCCTTTATGAACTCTTCGATGTTCTTTATTTCTCAGATGTGATTTTTGTTACTTCTTTAGCTGCTTCAGTCTTTTTGATTATACAGTATTTTTCTTAGATAAGATTGAACTGCTGTAGACCTGTTTATGCCATACTGCCCAGCAGCATTAGGCATCTTCTGACCACTCTCTACCTTTGCTATTATACTCTCACCTTTCGAAAAGAAAAACAGACACAAAACTTAATGAGTGCCTACCCGACAGTCTCGCGAATACATAAAAGAATTGTTTTGTCAAAAAAATAAAAGGCTGGAATTACAAGAGAAAGTTTTAAAGTTCGAAGGAATACTATCCGATTGGTATATACCGGCTTGAGCATCGATGTCGATGTCTCCCATACCTCCGAAAAGTTTCGAATTGTTGCCCGAAGACAAGGGAAGACCAATCGGTATTCATTATTTTACGTCGTTTCTTCTTGTTCTGTGGGGTGTTCATTGTCCGAACATAAAAATCTTTCGCAAAAGTGTTCGTTATCCGATCTGTTCGTTAACCGATCACCCACTGTATTATAATTGCACGAAAACTTAATACCAATAGCATTACAATTTAAAGTAATATAGCAGTGGTGGGCAAGCAAGAGTTCAGTAGGAGCTGAAATGGTAAGTTTTGCAAAATGCATGGGAGCTGCAGTTCTGTACTTTTTTATTCTGTACTGCAGTTCTGTACCACAATTTTATTATATAATATAAATATAATATAAAACAAATATTGAATTTTTTTAATAATTATGTTTTCACAAAATTGTGGAAATAAAATTGTAAAAATAATAATAAAAAGCAGAAATTAACACTTCCAGCAAGAGCCGCATGTAACTCAGAGAGCTGCATGCACCCATGTCTGCAATATAGCTTACTTCACTTCACTAAGAATAACAAATCACATTTAAATATTGCATGCAAATCTTGGATAACATTAATTCCTGTATCTAACAAAGATTAAATCTAAAGGATGTGACAAACTAACTGTTAGTCTATACATCCATGTGTTAGTTTGCACACCAATATCAAAACTGTAAACTTATTTGTTACATTCCGCATTGAATATTTACGCTTGTAATGTACAGTAATTTCATTTTATTGATTTTTTTCAGAAAATGTTAAGAATGTACAGTACAGTATGCCAGCAGAAAATGATGATGATGATGATGATCATCAGTCACGATCAAATTTAATTTAGGAAAAAATGCATCATTCTCCTTGATGAACTTAAAATGCCGAAATGGTAGATTGATTTGCATGTTTGCAGGTAAGTCAGTTACGTTCAATATTAATCAATTATTAAAATAAGTAAATGTGAGTTTAAATCAAAAAGAATTATTTATTTATTTATTTACAAGAGTGATCATAGGTGTTGTTCAGAGGGCAAAACAAACCAATCTCCCACAACTGTAGAATAAAACCCTAGTAAAACTTAAGAAAAAAATTCAGCTTTGTTATTGCACAATGGAATGTGCAGGGCTTTATTGCTGTTAGTAAGACAGTTGATCAGAAAAGTTTAACTTTTGAGATGTTGTTGCCATTGTCTTTACATTTAATTATTATTAGATCATTTATTTAGATTTTTACAATTATTGTTATTAATTAAATAACTAATATAATTGAACTCTTAAAATCGAATCTTTAATCTGTACATCTCGATCATAATCAATCGTCTGCTAATTGTTAATCGTACTACTTGACTCTTCTGCTAATTAATCGTTATGTGACAATTAATTTTCCAACAAATGAAGTAATCATAAACATCTGGTAGAAGAGCACCAGCTAGACAAAAGACAACAAGATGATAGATAGTTAAACTAATATATATTTAATTATATTTAATTTACTAAGCACTGATAATTATTAACGTTCCTATTATTTTCATTGAACGTTATTCCTTCATAACTTCCTTATTCTTTTTAAATTTATAGAGTAATCACTCTCCTAATGCTATGTAAAGTGACATCAATGTTGGTATTTAGAAGGTAAGGATTGTATATGTAATTGAATTGCAAAAACACGCATTCCACCAAGCCTGATAATGCATGTGGGAACAGACACTACTTCTGAAGATTAAATTTTTTAATCACTATTTCTGTGTGTAAAATAACTGAAGTAATACCTAAAGAATGGTGAATATATAAAAGTGAAATAGTAATTAAAGTTTCTTAGAAATTTTGTAATGATGCATTTTGTTCTTTGCCCTTAATCCAGTGAAGCCTGTGTTGGCCCAGAGACCAAAGACCTGCATTTCTTTCTATTTTTCCACCACTCCTCTGCAAATACCACTCTTATATCGTCAGTTTTTTTGCTTAGGTCTTCAGCTATCTTGTCCATCCACCTCTTTCTAGGTCTTCGTCCCTCCATCTTCTCCAATACCAAGTTTGATATT